CCATGAAGTGGAAGAAGCTGACCAATGCCCAGCGCTCGGGTCTCAACCAGATCCCTAACCGGAGGTTCACCCTCTGGTGGTCTCCCACCATCAACCGGGCCAACGTGAGTGGCGGGGCTGCCCTTCCGGATGGGTCTGGCAGGGCTTTGGGGGTCAGCAGGAAGAGGGCCTCACCCCCCTCGCCCTCCCCTCCGCCGGCAGGTGTACGTGGGCTTCCAGGTGCAGCTGGACCTGACGGGCATCTTCATGCACGGCAAGATCCCCACGCTGAAGATCTCCCTGATCCAGATCTTCCGAGCTCACTTGTGGCAGAAGATCCACGAAAGCATCGTCATGGACCTCTGCCAGGTGAGGGTCCTTTGGCTCCCCCCCAGCCCAGCGCCTTGGAGGCCCCCAACCAGCAGCCCTCGGGGGCCAGGGGCTCGGGTCCCCCTCCCCACTCGCTCCCAACCCCCCTTCCTCCCTCTCCACCGGCCCCAGGTGTTTGACCAGGAGCTGGACGCCTTGGAGATTGAGACGGTGCAGAAGGAGACCATCCACCCCAGGAAGTCTTACAAGATGAACTCTTCCTGCGCGGACATCCTCCTCTTCGCCTCCTACAAGTGGAACGTCTCCCGGCCCTCCCTGCTGGCAGACTCCAAGTGAGCCCCTCACAGGGGTTGGGGGGTGTCGGGAGGTGGGGGGCTCCTCGCCAGCCCCACCCGGCCTGCTTTCCCTATGCTGATGGCCTCCCGCCCTTCCTCCTCCTCCTGCTGCTGCTGCTCAGGGACGTGATGGACAGCACCACCACCCAGAAGTACTGGATCGACATCCAGCTGCGTTGGGGGGACTACGACTCACACGACATCGAGCGCTACGCCCGAGCCAAGTTCCTGGACTACACGACGGACAACATGAGCATTTACCCCTCCCCCACCGGGGTCCTCATTGCCATTGACCTGGCCTACAACCTGCACAGGTGAGGCGGGGCTGGGGGGGGGGGCAGGGGATCCGGAGGATCAGCCAGAGCGGCTGCAGATGCAGGGTGTGGCCCAGTTGGACTTTTGGGCCACCCCCGGGTGAGCCGGGTTCTCTTGGGGGATGGCCACAGGTAGCGGGTGGGAGGCCTGCCCTCAGGGAGCCCATCTCTTCCCCAGCGCCTACGGGAACTGGTTCCCCGGGAGCAAGCCGCTGATCCAGCAGGCCATGGCCAAGATCATGAAGGCCAACCCCGCCCTGTACGTGCTGAGGGAGCGGATCCGCAAGGGCCTGCAGCTTTACTCCTCGGAGCCCACCGAGCCCTACCTCTCCTCGCAGAACTACGGGGAGCTCTTCTCCAACCAGATCATCTGGTTTGTGGACGACACCAACGTCTACAGGGTCACCATCCACAAGGTGAGGGGCTCTGGGGGGGGGCCTCCTCCCTGGGGGGCGGGGGGGGGGGGGGGGGGGGGAGGGCACCCCCTGACCGGCAGCCGCTTCTCTCAGACCTTTGAAGGAAACTTGACCACGAAGCCGATCAACGGGGCCATCTTCATCTTCAACCCTCGGACCGGGCAGCTCTTCCTGAAGATCATCCACACATCCGTCTGGGCTGGGCAAAAGCGTTTGGGCCAGGTGAGGCCTTGGCCCAGCCCCCTTGCCCCTCTCCCCTTGGGGCGGGGAGGGAGGGAGGGAAGCCTCCCGGGCCTCTCTCATGCGCCTGCTGCCCCCTCCCTTGCCAGCTGGCCAAGTGGAAGACGGCGGAGGAGGTGGCGGCTCTGATCCGCTCCCTGCCGGTGGAGGAGCAGCCCAAGCAGATCATCGTCACCCGGAAGGGCATGTTGGACCCCTTGGAGGTAGGCAGGGCAGCAAGAGAGGAAGAGGAGGGAGGAGGGCAGGGGGGAGCCATATCCTGGAGCTCTGGACCGTGACCCCTGACCTCCCCTGACAGGTGCACCTGCTGGACTTCCCGAACATCGTCATCAAGGGCTCGGAGCTGCAGCTGCCCTTCCAGGCCTGCCTGAAGGTGGAGAAGTTTGGAGATCTCATCTTGAAGGCGACCGAACCCCAGATGGTCCTCTTCAACCTGTATGATGACTGGCTGAAGACCATCTCCTCCTACACGGTGAGCCTCCGGCCGTTCCCACCCCGGCACCTTTGCAGGGCCCAGTGCACCTGGACGCCAGGCAGCCTCCGTGCCCCACCACATCCCCACACCCCGCCCAGGTGGGATGCCAATGGCCTTTCCCTGCTCCCAGGCCTTTTCCCGCCTGATCCTCATCCTGCGGGCGCTGCATGTGAACAACGATCGGGCCAAAGTCATCCTGAAGCCGGACAAGACCACCATCACCGAGCCTCACCACATCTGGCCCACCTTGACCGACGAGGAGTGGATCAAAGTGGAGGTGCAGCTGAAGGACCTGATCTTGGCCGACTATGGCAAGAAGAACAAGTAGGTGGACAGGTGGCTCTCTCGACTTCCCGGGGGGAGGGGGAGGGTCCTGCCCTGCCCCTTAGGTTGAAGCTGGGGGGGGAGGAGGGGGGCAATCTTTGCCAGCGCCCCAGGGAGGAGCCCTGACCGTGCTGCCCGGGAGGCTTCACTCTGACCACCCGGCCCTGTCCTCGCTCTTGGCCAGTGTGAACGTGGCTTCCTTGACCCAGTCCGAGATCCGGGACATCATCCTCGGCATGGAGATCTCGGCCCCCTCCCAGCAGCGGCAGCAGATCGCGGAGATCGAGAAGCAGACCAAGGAGCAAAGCCAGCTGACGGCCACCCAGACGCGGACAGTCAACAAGCACGGCGACGAGATCATCACCTCCACCACCAGCAACTACGAGACCCAGACCTTCTCCTCCAAGACCGAGTGGCGGGTCAGGTGGGTGCCGGGAGCCCCGAGAGGGGAGGGAGGGGGGCTGGCTCCCCACCCCTCCCCCTCAGGGGCTGCTTGGCGCAGGGGGTCACGCCCTTCACTTCCTCCCCCAGGGCCATCTCTGCAGCCAACCTGCACTTGCGCACCAACCACATCTACGTCTCCTCGGACGACATCAAAGAGACCGGCTACACCTACATCCTGCCCAAGAACGTCCTGAAGAAATTCATCTGCATCTCCGACCTGCGAGCTCAGGTGTGGCCCCGCCACGGCCTTTGGGGACCCCTCTTAGCCCAGAGTCCCACCCGCCTCCGTTTCTGCATCACGTTCTCGACTCGAGTGGGAGGACAAAGCCAAAACGGCCACCGGACCTTTGTCCCAGCGCCTCCCTGGCTGAGCGGTGCCCAAGGGTGCCACAGCCCGGATGCCTTTGTGCCTCCACACTGCCAAGCCCCTTGGCTGCCGGTGCCCGGGTGACCCGGCCTCTCTGTGCCCCCAGATTGCCGGGTACCTCTATGGGGTGAGTCCCCCAGACAACCCCCAGGTGAAGGAGATCCGGTGCATTGTGATGGTGCCTCAGTGGGGAACCCATCAGACCGTCCACCTCCCCGGCCAGCTGCCCCAGCATGAGTACCTCAAGGCAAGTGATCCCTCTGGGGTGCCCTGGGGGGGGTGGGGGCTCCCTGGGGCACCCCAGGTTTCTCCAGAGGAGGCAGCTGGGGGGGAGGGGAGCAGGTGTGGACACCGCTCGACCCCTGGATCCTCCCGCAAACGTAGGAGATGGAGCCCCTGGGGTGGATTCACACCCAGCCCAACGAGTCTCCGCAGCTCTCCCCGCAAGACGTCAGCACCCACGCCAAGGTCATGGCCGAGAACCCCTCCTGGGACGGGGAGAAGACCATCATCATCACCTGCAGGTCTGTCTGTCCGTCTGGTGGGCGCGCTCACTCTCCGGCGCGGGGGGGGTGGGGGGAGCAGCCCCAGAGCCGATGGGCCCCCTCCGCTGACCGGCCCTCCCTCCCTCCCGCCGCAGCTTCACTCCGGGCTCCTGCACCTTGACGGCCTACAAGCTGACCCCCAGCGGCTACGAGTGGGGCCGGCAGAACACGGACAAGGGCAACAACCCCAAGGGCTACCTGCCCTCCCACTACGAGCGGGTGCAGATGCTGCTCTCGGACCGCTTCCTGGGCTTCTTCATGGTGCCGGCCCAGGCCTCCTGGAACTACAACTTCATGGGTGAGTGGGAGAGACGGGGGTCCTGAGCCCTCCCCCCACCTTCCTGTGGCCCTTGGTGGGGGGCCAAGAAGCGGCAGGGGCGGCACTTCCCCTGCCCCCTCTGCTCAGAAGGCGGGGCTGCCCTCCGTGACCCCCCCCCCCCCCCAGGGTCCCTGGCCGTTTCGGGCTCTGGAACCAGGACTCCCCTCCCTTGCAGGCGTCCGGCACGACCCCAACATGAAGTACGAGCTGCAGCTGGCCAACCCGAAGGAGTTCTACCACGAGGTCCATCGCCCCTCCCACTTCCTCAACTTCGCCCTCCTGCAGGAGGGGGAGGTCTACTCAGCGGACCGGGAGGATCTCTACGCCTAGCCTGGCAGCCCCCCCCCTGGTTCCCCCCCCCCCTGACCCCCCCCCCCCATCCCATTGGGCTTGTGTGAAGTTTCTGTCTAATGCCATGTGACGTTTCAGTTGTTTAATAAAGTTTTGTATACCGGAAAGGTGTCTCTTGTGGATCCTCTCAGCCCCTCCCACAAGACTCGTTTGGGGGGGGGGGCGGAAAGGGGGGGGGGGGGCCCGGCGGGGGGCCCCGGGGGAAGCCCCCCCCCCACCACAAGGCTGGCAGGCCTTGGGGCCGTTCCGAGCGGGCCAGCATGGACAAGGAATGGGGTCCGTTGCCAGCGTTGGGGCTGGCTGGGCTGGAGGAAGGGCCCATTTCCGCTCCCCTCGAAAGGGAAAGGGGTCCCCCCCCCCCCCCCCCCCCGAGCCCCTCCCTTGCGCGGCTTCTCTGGCGCGGGGATTCGGGCGTCTCAACCACTGGGGGCCTCCGGTTAGGCTTCCCCGCCCTCCGCGCGCCTGGGCCAGCGGTAGGCCGAGTCCCGGCGGGGCGGGGCGGGGCGAGGCGGAAGGCGGGGCGGCGCCGCCTCTTCGCCCGCCCGAGCGCAGTCGGTCGCCCTTGGGCCGCGCTCTGCAGCCGAGCTGGGGCCGCGCCGCCGTCGCCTGGCCGGGGCCGGAGCGCGGTGATCGGCCGGATGGAGGCGGCCTACGTTTACCGCCTGGCGGCCGCGCTGGGCTCGGAACTGCAGCGGCTCTCGGATCGCTTCGGGGCGGCCGCCCTGGCCGGGCTGGTCCCGCAGGTGGTGCGCCTCCTCGAGCTCCTGGAGACGCTGGCCGCGGGCGGGCTCGGCGGGGCGGCCGAACTGCTGCTGCTGGGCGCGCCGTCGGACGGGGAAGCGCCTGGCGCCGCCGCGGTCCAGCGCTCGCGGCAGGTGCGGAGGCCCGCGCGCTCCCCGGCCTTTCCCCGCGGCTGGGCACCGGCCGCCCGGCTCTGCCGCGGGTCAGGAGCGCCTCCTCCTCCTCCTCCTCCGGAGGCCGCTGGGACGGAGGGAGGGCGGGAGATCGGGGCGGGCGAGGGGAGCCGGAGCGCTTGACGCCGGTCGAAGCGGCCGGTGCGCTTCTTCCCCTGGCAGGTGGCGGAGCAGCAGCTGGCCGAAGCCCGGGAGCGGGAGCGGCGCCTCCAGCTGGAAGAGGAGCAGCAGCGAGCCTTGAGCCGCCTGGCGGGGGGCCAAGCCCAGGAAGGTGAGGCCGGGCCGGGCAAGGGGGGACTTTCCTCGAGGGCGAAGCCCCGGCCGTTGCTTTGGGGAGGAGGAGGAGGAGGAGGGCGCCGCTTCTGCCAGAGTCTCTCCGCATCCACCTGCTGCGTTCACTTCGCTTGAACTTTGAGCTGGGGAAACTCCAGCAACCCTTTGGCCGACTTCCTTGTTTTGATGCTGTGAAGTGTCGGCTGCCCCAGAGGCCTCCTGCCGCCCTAGTGGTGCCCCGACCAGAGGGCGGGGGTGGTGGGGGTGGTGCAGAGGGCATCCTTTCACGGACCCGCACTTAGCTTGGGAGACTGCAGTGGGCGATTGCACCCCTCGGGTGGGCTTGTGACGCAGAGGGAGCAGCTGCATTTGCCCAACAGGCTTCTCTGGGGGGGGGGGGGGGTTCCGCAAATCTTGCCTGGTTGCTTAAGTCATTAGCCCAGGTGTGTCCTGCCTGGGGAGAGCGGCAGCCTCCTGGCCTCCCACGTGCGGTTCTGCTCCCGGCTTCTTGGCTGGACGAGCCAGGAGAGAATCGGGAATCAAGCTGGACTGGAAAGAAGGAGAGGGAGGCTCCCGTCCCCAGAAATTTCCAGTCGTGCATCAGGAGTTGTAGCTCAGCCAGCAATAAAATCTGAGCATCCAGGGAGGCGTGGCCTTGGTGGGGTGCCCAACACCCACTGGCGCTGCCTTAGACTAGGGTGCCACTCCCTGGCGGGGAGGAGAGAGGGGCCTCCTCCTTTGGCATCCAGACTCTTCCCCGGGGAGGGGGTTGGACTCGCCCCAGCCAGCTGGATGGCTGAAGGCGCTCAGAGACTGTCAGGCGGTTTGCTTGGTTTGGGTTTAGCAAGTCATGTGGTTGTGAGTTTACCATTCGTGCAGACCTGGTCAGCTGGGTGTCAGGGCTGCCATTTAAATCATGAGTCTCTAGCCAGGTTTTCAAACGAAAGAAGATTTATCAGGAGTAAACATGCCGGTGCTGCAGGTGCAGCCGACTCTGAGGCACATCATCCCCTGTCACCCTTGTCCTTGGTTTTCACCCCCACCCCCTGTATCGTGTGTTGTAATTCCTATGCTCCAGTGGGACACGCCCAGAGCCCAGAGTCCTCAGTCAGAAACTTCGGTCGCCTAGAAACTATCTTTGAAACCATTGATGGACTGCAGGCTGCCCACTGCTTCCCCCTCCCTTTCTGTGGGCAACTCTAAAAGACCACAGGAATATTTTATGAGTTGACGTTGGGTTTATTTAACAAACAGTGGTTTCCCACTGACAGAACTTTGGAGAGAGAGGAGATCCTTCCTTCTTTTCCATCCATGGTTCTGGCCATCTTTCGTCTTCCATCTTCTGTTTAATGGGTTTTATTACAATTTCCTTGTTTGGATTGTTGTGAGCTATGCAGCGTCATTGGGAGCTTATGGGTCTGAAGAACAAACAAACAAACATAAGTAAATAAATAAACGCACCCTAGGAATGCTGTAGGGCATGGGTGTCAAACTTGCGGCGTCATGTGGCTGTAGCATGACGTTTTCCCCCTTCGCAGAACTGGGGTGGGCGTGGTCTGCCCGTGGCGCATCCGGCCGGTGGGCTTCCACTTAGACCCCCCTGAACTCTTGACCGGGAAAGTGGCTGAAGAGTGGGGTGTGTCCCTGGCATCATCCCTCAGAGCCCCCTTGGGCCAGAGCAGCAGGAGGGGCAGCCAGGGCACCCGATGTCCTGCCTGCTGCAGCCGGGTTGAGGAGCAGCTGTGGGGGAGGCGAGCTGGCCCCTCCTTCAGGGTCTCCCTCTGCTGCTCCCTCTCCTGCCCTTGGGTGCCGCCAACGGGAGCCAGTCTCGCCAGGGTCCTTCGCTCAAAGCTGAGCCAAAGCGTCGCTCTCTGTGCTGCCCCAGACGGCCCTGGCCACCGAGAGCGGGTGCTGATGCTGCAGCTGAAGCAGGTGGTGGACCGGCAGCGGGACAAGATCCGCGCTCAGGACCACGAGATCCAGCGCAAGGCCTGGGACACAGAGGCGGTGAGTGCCACGGGTCCGGGTGGGGGCTGGGGGGCTCCCCCAGTTGCTGAGGGCAGTTGTGGGTCTGTCTCCGCAGCTGCAGGAGCAGCTCAACCGCTTCATGACCATGAACGAGAACCTGCGCCGGAAGCTGGCCGTGGTGCAGGCCCAGCTCAGGAGCACCCTGGAGAGGAAGGGCGAGGCGGAGGCCCTCTGGGAAGCAGCAGAGCCTGCCAGGACTGGCACCCCCACGGTGAGAGGGGCAGAGCAGGCGCCTGGAGGGAGGGCAAAGGGGGCTCGGGGCCAGCGCCACCTAGAGGGGCCCTGGCCTCCCAGGCCCCTCCTCCTCCTCCTCCTCCTCCGTCTGCCTGAACAAGAGCCCTGTGGACAACTATGGTGGGCACTGCCAGCCTTACGAGGTAGACCAGATCAGAAGCCAGCTCCATAGGAAGACCCCAGGGAGTTGGGGAGGGCCAGTCTGGGCCTTTTTCAAAGGCTTCCCCACCTGCCTGGCCTTGTTGAGTTTCTGCCCCGCTTGAGGAGGGCTTCCGGACGGCTTCTCCAAGGTAAATCGTAGCCGGTGCCTCCCCACGGCACCTTTTGTCCTTCTCAGTTGGGCTCCAAGTAGTCTTGGGATGAGGGGGAGCGCTGGAGGGGAGGGTCCCACTGAGGAGCACGAGGCTAATGGAACCCGGAGTGCAGCCTGGGCACTTTCCAGGGGTTGCCCACAAGGAGGTGGCCATTGACCGGCTTCATTTTACGAACCATTTGATTCACGGCTTCGGCCTGGCCCGGGTGGCTCACGGAGCACGGCAATGTAAACGATCCGATCCCCATCTTTCCTTAGGAGCAGGAGGAGGGGGATGTGGGTGGGGCTGCAGCCCCCCCAGAACACTCGCCTGACCAGCGCACCTTCTCGAAGGAAGAGCTGCAGCAGATCCTGCAAGAACGCAACGAGCTCAAGACCAGCCTCTTCTTGGTGGAGGAGGAGTTGGCCTATTACCAGCGGTCAGTCAGTCTCCCCGGGTACTTTGCGGTAGGGGGAGGGAGAGCTTCTCTCCTGATGGACCCATTGCAGCGCCACAACTGCCTTTGCTCCAGGAGAGCTGGACTGATTCTGGCAGGGAGGTTGCAGGGAGTAGCTGCTGCAGGGTCCTCTATGGGGGGGGGGGGGGGATTCAGCCCTGCTGAAATACGGGGTGTTACCAACCCTGGGACCACCCCTCTTCTTCGGTGCCTCCTGCCAAGAGTTGGCTTTTTCCCCTGCTAGAAAGCTTTTGGCTATCAAGAGTGGGGCTTGTTGGGTTGGGTGGCTATTAAAAGCAAAGGAATAATAAGTTCTTCTTAAGACAAAATCAGCAACCTTTAGCCTCACCCTACAGTGCTGCTGTAATCTTACTTTTCCCCCATTTGAAAAGCAGAGGGGGTTTTGCCTTCCTTCAGAAGACCGAGCCCCCAGCCCACCCAAAGGAGGGGGCTGGTCCCTTGGAGACCCTCCAGGGCAGGAATCCTCCACTGCCCCTCCCCAAGAGACACCTGTCCAGCCTCCACGAAAACACCTACCCCCAAGGCCCCCAGCCCCCAAGCCAGTTAAAGAGCGCTCCGTGTCCGGAAACACTTCCCACCAAAACACTCCCAATTGAAACGCTTTGTTTCTCGCCTTTTGGAACCAGCTTGGAAAATCCCACCTGGTCATCCGCTTGGTGGCCCTTTGGTACAGATGGCTGCCACATCTCCTTGCGCTTTTCTTTTCTCCAGGAAGCTCCAGTTGGCCAAGCTCTGTCCTAGCCCCGACCCCTTTGCCTCTCCCCCATGAGGCCTGGCCTTGCTCACCTGCCCAGGGAGCCAGCCCACCTGGAGCTAGAATGACCCAGAATAACAGAGTTGGGAGGGACCTGGGAAGCCTTCAGTCCAACCTCCTACTGCTTAAGTATGGCGCCCTGGATCATTTCAGACTCCTCTTAAAAGCCTCCAGGGTTGGAGCCGCCAGAGTTTCCGGGGTAAACCCTTCTGCTAGTTAATTGTCCTCACGGTTAGGAAATTCCTCCTAGGTTGCTTCTTTCCTTGATTAGTTTCTTGTCCTGCCTGCAGGGCTTTGGGGAAGAGGTTGAAGCCCCCCCCCCCCCCTTGACATTGGAAGACTGCTATCCTGTCACCCCTGGTTTTAGATGGTCTCCAAAAACCATGTTTGTTTTAAGCTAGAGGAAAGAGTGAAAGAAGCTGGGTCCCTGGGCTAGGAAAAAGGAGAGAATTAACTTAGTTCTCCTGAGCCTTTAATATAAGAAGCTTTTAAAAAGCTCAGGAAACAAGCAAATGACATTTCCTTTAGGAATCTGACTATCTTTAAAAATGGGGTTAAAGTGTTTAGCCAGAAAGTTGCATTTGAATTTTGAACACTGGCGTATGTTAAGTCTTGTATGTCTCTACAGGTAGAAAATTCTGCGTAATCAACTTTTTTTAATTCCAAACTTTTTGTATTCCCAGAAAACTACTTTATTATTAACTTCTTTTGAGCTAAAATATAATTTACAAGCAGTTTCGTTGCTGAGCTCAGTAATTGGATCATTGGATTTTTTTTAATCTCACGCAGAAGCATCATTTTATCATGATCGGGTTATCCTAATCCCCACTGGGAATGTTTACATTTTAATATAAAAAGAGTTATTGCATTTTCTCTTTTATAAAATAACGTTTGATTTTATTTATTGATGGTGAGATTGGTCTGTCTCCCAAGGAATTTGCAGAACAGCAGAAACCGCTAATTGCAGGGTTTGATCCTCTGTAGTCAAGAGGTTGCTATATATAAGTTATTGTTGGTCGCACCGTCAGCCGCTGGGTCTGACCTGTTTATCCACCTATATCTGGTCCTTCCCCAAGACCTGGGATGGGCAGGTGGGGTTGTTTGATGGTCTTAAAGGTATGAGCTGTTCCCAGGAAGGCTGCCTTTTGCAATTGACCGATGGGGATTTTTTCGATGCTGATGGTGATCAGGTGATGGTCCAGATGTTCTGGGATTGCACCCAAAGCACCTATGCCGATTGGTGCCACCTTTGCTTTCTTTTGCCCCAGTTGTTTTACTTCTATTTGCCGGCCTTTGTGTTTTGTATCTTCTCCAGTTCTTCCTCTTCTCTTCTGCTGTCTCCAGGTACTGCAATGTCCACTGACCAAACCTTTTTTGCTTTTCTTACCGACAATTGTTAACTCTGGAGTCTCCGGAGAGACAGGGGCCTGTCTGTTTGAATTCTAAAATCCCAGAGCAAGTTGGTTTCTTCATTTTCTGTGACTTTCTCTATTTTATGGTTCCACCAGTTCTTGCTTGCAGGCAAGGGATATTTCTTGCAGGTCTTCCGATGCCCAGTGTTGCTACTTTGTCGTGCTGTTGCTTACAGTCTGTTTGATCTTCTTGCAGCAGCTAACCAGGTCATCCACTGTTTCTTCAGTTTCTTTGCCAAGGCGGCATTTGCTGTCTGTCGCTGCCTATTAACGGCATGAGAAGTGAACCAAGAAGCTGCACCAGGTCCAGAGGCAGGACCAGGGTGTTGGTAGAGCCAGAGGCTTGTGAGGGAGGGAGTTTGGGCCAAGACCTTTGGGGTGAGCCAGCTTAAGAAACAAACTTCCCAGGAAGACTGGAAACTCTACTTCCGAGAGAGAAGACCATAGTAAGAGAGTCATTAGGCAGCTTACTCGCTGCTCCTTCTTCTGTCTCGGGCAGAAGTTTGCCTGGGTTGCTTTGAATACGATCTTGCTTTCCAGGAGTTAAGGAATATTTCAGCCCTCTTTGCTTTCTTTCTTTCTTATATACTTAAAACTATTTAGTTTATGTAGCCATCCAACTGAAATAGTCACCCAGTTGCCTTACTGGTGAGATGGGGGGGGGGGGAATACATTTAATAAAAAAATGTAAAAATAAAATATATGACTTTGAGAAGCTCACAGTAATTAAAATATAAAAAACTAAATCTACACTCCCCCATTGTATAATCTAAAGATAGTATAAAAAATACCCCGCCCGACATTGTCCAAAGTGCAGTAAACCAGCATCTATCCGCAATCATCTACAAGGCACCGCAGAGGCTCTGCCACCCGTCGGAACCCTCCCCTGCGATGGCAAAACGCCTGTTTCCCACCCAGGGATGTTCCTGGAACGTCCAGCCGAACGTCCCCCCACCCGGCCGTTCAGTTCATCCGACCGATTCCCTGGTGTTGACTCTTAGCGACCACCCTAGGATCTGACATGCGGTGCAGACATTCCGGTGGCCATTTTGTCATTTCCCTTTATTGTCTTTGTATTTATCTTACTGCATTTGTATTTTGTTTTTTATATAGTGAGTCAGTCCAGGTGACCGTGGAGTTGGGCAGGGCCAAAATAAATAAATAAATGTCAGTCAATCTGTCCTCAGCCCTTTGGACCTCCCAGTGGTCCCCAATTGCCTCTCTAGTCAAGTCCATCCGGTTTGCTGGAGGCTTTAAGAAAGAGACTGACATGGTCTCTCCTGCTTGAAGGCGGTTGGACTAGAAGATCTCCAAGGTCCCGTCACGGGACCTGTTACTCTGCTACTGTTTGTTGTCTTTTTCCTCCCACCTTCCTAAAACGTGGTGCCCAGATGCGTATTCTTAGCCCAAGCTGACCGGGCCAGAACAGAGAGGACAGCAGGGGCTTCTTTCGCAGCTGCCTCCCACTCATGGCTCATCTTTAGCCTGGGACCCGAGCGGAATGCGAGGAGGTTCCAGGCGTAGCTCCTACCGAGGCCTGATTAAAGCAGGACTGGACCTTGAGCTGATCCCCCTCTGTGGAGGCAGCCTAGGACTGCGCTGGCTTTTTGGGCAGCTGCCACGCACGGCTGGCTCCTATTTAAATGGCTGCCCACTAGGACCCCTGGATCCTCTCGCAGCTATTACAGGAGGGGTAGATTGCCTCCCCCCCCCCCCCCCCCCCCCCCCCCCCCCCCATACCAGTCCTGAAACTGAGCTGCTTCTGCCTCCAGGGAGCTGCTTAATGGGGAGCGAGTCCCTGCCCTCCTCCTGCATGCCGTGAAATCTGCCATCAGGAAGCAGCGCAAGAAAATCTGGGCCAAGATGCTGGGCACAGAAGAGGAGACGGCAGCGGGCAGGTGGGTCTCCCTAGGTATCCCCCTCCCCCCCCC